GGGGGGTTGGGGGGGAGGGCATGATTCCTGGGTCCAGGAGGAAGAGGAGGCTGTGGGTGTAGACTCTGAACTAAAAGGAGGTGGTGGCTGAGGTCCTAACCCCTGGGTCCTGGAGGAGGAGGGTCTGGGAGCTCCAGCTCCTGGGATCCTGGGGAGGAGGTGACTGGGGCTCTAATTCCTGGGTTCTGGGAAAGGAGGAAGCTGGAGGCCTGGAATCTTGGGTCCTGGGAGAGGAGGGACTGGGGGTCTTGAGTTTTGGGGTCAGAGGGAGCCCGGGGCCAGCCTCTGCGACTCTGACCCTGCCTTGCCACAGGGAGCTGGCGTGATGTCCGTGTACCTGTTCACCAAGCGCTACGCGGAGGAGGAGATGTACCGTCCGCACCCGGCCTTCTACCGCCCGCGTCTCAGCGACTGCTCGGACTACTCGGGCCAGTTTCTGCAGCCCGAGGCGTGGCGCCGCGGCCGCAGCCCCTCCGACATCTCTAGCGACGTATCCATCCAGATGACGCAGAACTACCCTCCAGCCATCAAGTACCCGGACCACCTGCACATCTCCACCTCGCCCTGCTGAGGCCCCGCCCCCGGAGGGCCCCTCTTCCTCCTCCTCCTCTTCCTCCTACTCCTCACGGGTCTCCCCACAACGCAGCTGCCCCTCATGTCCTCGGGACTCCTCGTCCCACCCGGAGGACGCTGCGCACGCGTTAGCCCCGCCCTCTTCCCAGTGGCTCCGCCCCGTCACCATAACCCCTCCCTCTTTCCTGACCGCTCCACTTCATTGGTCCCTTCCACTTCCGGATGACGCCTCCTTCTAGATGACCCGCCCCTTTCCCTTAGGCCACTCCCCTCCTGGCCTAGTACCGCCTCCCAGGTTCCTCTGCTCCTAGGGCAGAGCGGCCGAGCGCGCCCACCTCCGCGAGCCATACCCCAGCCTTCCGCCTCGCTGCAGGGGCTCTGGGCAGGAGAGTAGGTTCCAGCTGCCGCCAGAAATGCCAAGCATCCTCTTCTGCTCTCTGCCCCGACTTCTCTCTTTCCCGGCCCAATCTCACCTCCGGACTTTCGTGGTCCTCGGGTGTAGTGCGGCCGGGGTGGGGCTGGAGGCCGCAGGTATGGTGTCCCCTCCCCCACTTCCCCACCCACGGGAGACCCCATTCTTTCTCACCTGCTGGACGCTTCTCGGCCTTTTGAAGGTTACCTGCCTTTTCGAGGGCTCTCTCTAACGGCTTTTCTTGCTCTCTCAGCTGACCTTGGCTTCTTTTCCTTCCTCTGTCTCCCGGCCTCCTCTTCACCCGCTCATCCAAAGCCCGCCGGTGCATCCAGCCCCACATACCACGCGACAAGAATGGAGACCCTAGGGTGGAGGGAATTCCTCCACGCCATTTCCACGCCTGTGCCCGCCTCTTCCCCCTCGAGGCCCCGTCGGGGGAGGGAGAGGCAGTAGCGGGGGTCGACACCCCCCAAACCTCGAAGTCTTCCATTTTCTGGCCCTCCCCCTCATTGAAGTCCCCCTTCCCATCTCAGACCCCCAACTCTGGCCTCTTTCAAGGGTCCGTCCGCCCCCTTGGACAGATGGGGGGGGTCACCAGAAACTCACCCACCCCCTTATTAGGGGAGGAGGGGCGAGGTAGCACAGTGTTGTACACGGAACTAGAAAGGCCCCCTGGGTGGGGGGAGGGGGGCAGGGGAGGGACGGGGGCTTTTAGTTTGCATCTTAGGGGGGAGGGGGGAGGGGGGACCGCAGCAGTTAACCTGTCTTTACGCAGCGATTTTTAACGAGGCTGGGGGGAGGGGGACTTTGGGGGTGGGGAAGGGATGGGGTGGGGGGCCTGGCTCTGTTATTTACCGTGTATCATATGTAAATACCGACAGAAACTTCAATAAACTTTATTTCAAACACGTCTCTGCCTGCCCAGGGGGAGGGCATTGGATACCGAGGGCGGGTCCACGTCTCTACCCTGGCGGGGTGGGGGAGAGGCTGTGGCTAGAGTGCTACAAAGTAAGGTTAGATGGTTGGTTGTTAAATTGCTTAATCGTTGTAATTAACAGCCTCACTTTATAATTCAGGCCATGTAAAGCGTGTAGGACAGCAAATGACACAGGTCCGGATCAATAAAAATTAACTTGGTATTACTGTGACCACTTAGAGAACAGTTACTATTACTCACCTTCCTTGCTTCGTTTATTTATTAAAAATTTTTTTTGTTTTTTCTTGGCTACGCTGCGCAGGCATGCAGGATCATTAGTTCCCCAACCAGGGATCGAACCTGTGTCCCCTGAAGTGGAAGGGCGGAGTCCTAACCACCGGACCGCCAGGGAAGTACCTACTTCATTTAATTTTCTCCCCAAGCCTGCATGTTGAGTTTATTGGACTCACTTTGCAGCTAGGTCCATAGAGGTGAAATGACTCACCCAGGGTCACACAGGTGGAACTTGGCAGAGCTGTGAGTTGGGACTAGGTTCAGCTGGTTCCAAACCTTGAGCTTCCTTCCTTTTGTACCGGGGAGCAGCGGCTTCTAATGCCTGGTCACTCTGTGAAGAGATAACTGCTACTATTTATTGCACCTACTATGAGCCACACACTTTCCTCCCATCCATGATCTCAGGAGATGTTCCCAGCAGCCCTGTAGGTAGGAATTAATCACACACACTGATCGGGCGCGCTCAAAGTGGTCTCTAAGATCTGTGATCTCACCTACCACACTGAGAGATTGAAAACGGCCTGAGTGTTTGATAAGCTTATTTTTTTTTAATTTATCACTTTTTATTTTATTTTATTGATTGATTTTTTATTGCGTCGGGTCTTAGTTGCGGCAGGCGGGATCTTCATTGAGGCATGCGGTATATTTCCTTGCGGCGAGAGGGCTTCTCTCTAGTTGTGGTGGTGGGTTTTCTCTCTCTAGTTGCGGCATGCGGGCTCCAAAGCGCATGGGCTCTGTAGTTTGCGGCAGGCGGGCTTTCTAGTTGAGGTGCCCGAGCTCAGTAGTTGTGCGCGCGGGCTTAGTTGCCCAGTGGCATGTGAGATTTTAGTTCCCTGACCAAGGATCGAACCACCTCCCCTTCATTGGAAGGCAGATCCTTTACCGCTGGACCAGCAGGGAAGTCCCAGATAAGCTTATTCTTGAAATATATTAAAAAGGAAACACAGTGCTAGCTTGGATTCTTCACCTCTTCTAGATTTAGTCTCTTGGGGGCAATCAGAACAACGTCTGCAACCACTACCGCATCCTGTAATCGCCACGGACACATTGATCAAGCTGTCGTGAGGTGTCAGAGACTGTGCTGAGCCCTTTTCATTTATCAGCTCATTGGGTTCTCCCAAACATACTCTGAGCTAGGCATTCCAAAGAGCCCCATTTTGTAGATGAGGAAACGGAGACTTTGGGAGGTAAGGTCACCCAGCTTGAAAGACGCAAAGAATTCACACCCATTCCTTTCTAATCCCAGAGTCTCCTCTCTCCTGCTGCTATATCTGACTTCGAATTTGATGCAAACTCATTCTGTGACCTTGAGCAAGTCTTTTAATCTCTGGAGCTTCAGTTTCTTTTTCTGTAAAAAAGGAGGGGGATGGGCTAGCAGGACTCCAAATCCCTCTGGAACAGGAAGAGTGGTGGGGATAGGTTAGCAGAAGAGAACTAAGAGTCAGCAGGATCAGACTCCCTGAGGGAAACACTCTGAGTCATTTTCAGTGATTTCAGGAGTTTCTGTAGGTCATGCTCAAGAACTGGGATGGCAAATGTGTTTCAGCCTCTTTGTCGAGACTAACTGATTCCTAGTGGCTTCTTGGAGCACAGTGTTGAGAAGGATTTGAACATCTGCTCAGTGGGACTGGATGTCCCCATCGACTGGTGCTGTCTGCCATTCTGATCATTTGGTGCTGTCTGTCTTGCGTGCAGGATGAGTAGTTGTGGTGCAAGTGCTGAGGTATTTGCTGATTTTGCCTGGAACTTAACAACTTAATATCCTAAAGTCCGTGTTCTTTAAAAAAAAAAAAATTAAGTTAGTGTTTTTGGTGGTGGTTTTGTTTTTTACATTTTGAAAATACAATGGGATTCCATAGTTAAAGATTTATCTTTTTTTTTTTTTGAAGGAATGCTGTGAAAAGTCTGTCCTACTTCTGACCTCCTGACATCCAGAAATACCCTTCGCCCTAAGGTATTATCTTTTAATGTATAATTTCAAGAATTCTATATGCATATCTAAGCATATATGTATGTGTTTAAATCCACTGACACAGCATTTATCATAGTATGCACATAGTTCTGTACCCTCCAACTTCACATGTGTTATGGAGATCATTTAGCATCAGTTATATAACTCTACCTTATGTTTGTTTTTGTTGTTTTTTTTTTAAATTTATTTATTTATGGCTGCGTTGGGTCTTCATTGCTGCAGGCGGGCTTTCTCTAGTTAGGGCGAGAGGGGGCTACTCTTCATTGCGGTGCGTGGGCTTCTCATTGCAGTGGCTTTTCATTGAAGTGGCTTCTCTTGTTGCTGAGAACGGGCTCCAGGCGTGGGTTTCAGTCGTTGTGGCTCGCGGGCTCTAGAGCACAGGCGCAGTAGTTGTGGCACACGGGCTTAGTTGCTCCACGGCGTGTGGAATCTTCCAGGACCAGGGCTTGAACCCGTGTCCCCTGCATTGGCAGGCAGATTCTTAACCACTGCACCACCAGGGAAATCCCTACCTTATGTTTTTTAAAGCTACTTAATAATAATAGTTTGCATAAATTAATTGCATAGTGTACTGTTTTCTATGTGCCAGACACTTTGCATTCAAGTCTTGAGCACTTTACATTGAATAACCCAAGGAGGTCAGTGCTTTTATTATATTATCATCCCCATTTTACAAATGAGATCCTGAGGCACAGAGAGGTTAATTAACTTTCTCCTGGTCATACAGCTAGTAAGTGGTCAAGCTAAGATTTTTTTTTTTTTTTTAACATCTTTATTGGGGTATAAAAAATATGGAACGCTTCACGAATTTGCATGTCATCCTTGCGCAGGGGCCATGTTAATCTTCTCTGTATCGTTCCAATTTTAGTATATGTGCTGCCGAAGCGAGCACTCAAGCTAAGATTTGAATCCTGGGCATCTCCTGAGCCTACTGATACTTAACCCTAAGTGTATACCTCCGTGTATGTTGAAGCCACGCAATCTCATCTTTTTATCTATCATCATTTTTACAAAGTATTTTGTACTCATTTCATTTACAGAATAGTACTATGCATCAGTGGTTCTCGAAGTGTGGCCACCACAAGGTCAAAACCAGTTTTATAATAATACTTAGATATTATTTGCCATTTTCACTCTTAGTCTCTCATGAGTACATGGAGTCCAGAGGCTTTCGGAGGCTTCACAATGGCTGATAACACAATAGATTGAATGCAGAAGCAGATATGAGAGCCTAACTTTCTTCTATTAGGCCAAACATTGAATAGATTTTCTTCTTTCTCCCCACTCCCCCACCCCGGCGCTGCGAGGCTTGCGGGGTCTTAGTTCCCTAACAGGGATTGAAGCTGGGCCCTCTGCAGTGGAAGCACGGAGTCCCAACCACTGGACTGCCAGGGAATTCCCGGAATAGATTTTCAAAAACATAAAGCATACACCTGAAACTGACACAACAATGTTAATCAACTATACTCCAATATAACATATTAAAAAGTTAAAAAAATAAAC